CCAACAAAACTTTCAGGGGCGGCGACTCTTTGAGTAAGCATTCGTCTACTTATTTTCCTTCTTAGGAACATGCGTAGTATCCTCACTTAGATATGCAGAGGAACAAATTCATGTCCACATGTTAGTTCGCTTGCTTGATGCTGACGATATACTTCTGTCAGCTTATATTGGTGTTTAGATTTACTTGGACACGAATCAATATAAATCGATAATCGTTCTAAAATTCGAGGAGTCAAAACGTGACAATTCATATCAATTTTAATTCTTCTTTTCTCGTGTCATATTATACTCATAATTGTTAAACCCTCTCCATAATGCAGAGTTTGTATGGAATGGGATGCACAATGTCGCGATCGTATCAAGAGAAGAATACGACAACTGTACTAAAGTGACCTCGTATTTCTATGGCGGCGAAGCCTTTATGTACACATTGCCAGATAACGCAAGTGGCTCATACTATTTCATCTCCACCTTTGATGCTGATTGCGAGAACGGGCTGAAGCTAGCCATCAACGTCGTTAGCCTGAGCCCGACCGAGTCACCGAATAGCTCGGCTTCCCCAATCACCGCCGGCGCCTTGTCTGTGCTGGTTCTCGTATCATCAAGCATCATCGCAATGTTTATGAACTAGATTTGGGTCATAGGGGAGGAGGATCATGAATTTTCCTTTTTAAGCTCGTGTTAATTTGGTTGTTCATTGGTCATTCATATTTATGTATTGTATGGAATAAAAAGAGGGTCATGTAAGTTTTAGATGTCAGTGATGCTAGCCTTCTCGATTTTCAAATAAGTTCGTCCCTCCCTTGTTTGACGAACATCGCCCATTTTTCCCCTTTTCCTTTCTGAAACTTGGTTGGGAGCCGACTCAAATTCATCGGAGTCGTTAAAATTCGGTTGGTCCATGTCGTATGGAACTCACAATATCTTAAAGCTTACGAAAAACGAAACCCGGTGCCTCTCTTGATTGGTCATGATCGCGTATATAACTTTCAAACACTTAGGTTCCGTTTGTTTCGCGAAAAATGAATAATTTGGAAAGCATTTTCCTAAAAATCATTGTTTATATCGCTTAAAATAATTAATTAAGGATAATGCTTCCTTTATCAACAACAATTTATGTCTCTATTTGTTTTTATAAGCAATACATGCCATTATTTTTAGGAAATATTTTATAAATCAACTATTTTCCGCGAAATAAACGGAGCCTTAGTAACACACGAGTCCCTCCTTGCATGATATGGACGTCCACAAAGAGGAATGTCTAGACACTTATTGACTGTTCAGTGCCTTTGCGCACTCATCGGAGCTATTTTCAGATACTCCCCATCTATATTGACCCATTCTACGTGAACCAGTAGATCAAGTGACGGGCACTCCCGACCTATGTTAGTCCACTTCACATGAATCATTAGATTATGAAGTGAGCTAACGTCGGCCAAAAGTACATAATTATGTTTCCACCGATTGAGCTATAGCGACGAGGGCACTGGCATCATCACTTTCGGATTCTACCTGTTAAACCATCCTAATTCAATTAGTTTCGCATAAACTGGCCGGCCTGTGGCGTTATTTTTACAAATTTACTTTACGTAAGAAAACACATCTTAATTTCAAATTCTGACCACTTCCATCTTTGCCTGCCACGAGAGCTCCATCAAGCAAGATGACAATCTTCGTCCACCACATACTTAAGGTAGACGATAGTCATCAACCTCAATTCTAGTTCTACAGTTGGCTACTTCTGTTTGTATGATTGAGAGAGACCACAATCATCAACCTCGACGCAAGGTCTGAGGCTCTCTCCCTCTCTCTCGCTCTGTGCGGCAGTGACCATCTTCGTTGGCAAAGCAATGGTGGTGCAACGGCAGCGATGGAGATGGTTCTGCATGAGAGAGAGAGAGAGAGAGAGTGGTGTTAGGTTTTTCAATTTTCTTAGGAAAGATTGCACCATGAGTCTTAAACTTTATGCATGCAATGCGATGAACCTCCAAATACTAATAGTACAATGAGAAATGTAATCGGGTCCTAAACTTTTTAATTGGCATAGTTTATTCGTAAAATATTACCGAGAATAGATTCGTAGTACTCACACTTCTTGAGGAGAAATTTAAAATTATAGTGCATTTGGTACATAAAATTTACGATTGTTACTATGTTATCCCACTTTTTTAAACGGGCTTTCGATATAAAACCAAAAATATGAGTGAGAGCTCGATTATCTCCAACCTGTTTCGTGCCTAAATTTCACATGTTGTAATGAACTGGCTCATTTCATGCGAATCAAGTCCCAATAAGAGTACTCAAAGTGATCACACAAAAAGGTGACGAATCGGGGGAAGTTGTCAATTTATCTATCACTAAGGGTGCATTTGTTTCACAGAAAATGAATGATTTGGATGCCATTTTCTTAAGGAACAATAACACAAATAGTCCATGAACTTTGTTTTAATGTGCAATTTGGTCCCTGAACTTTTAATTTGTTCAATGTGGTCCCTGAACTTTAACTTAATGTTCAATGTGGTTCCTGAATTTTTAATTTGTTTAATGTGGTCCCTAGACTTTTGGTACATGTTCAATTTAGTCCCTGAATTATATGAAAATGTTTAATGTAGTCCTTTCATTAATTTAAGTTCAGGGACTATATTGAACATTTTCATATAGTTCAAGAACTATATTGAACATGTATCAAAAGTCCATACATCACATTGAATAAATTACAAGTTCAGGGATTAAATTGAATATTAGACTAAAGTTCAAGGACCATATTGAATAAATTAAAAGGTCATAGATCAAATTGCATATTTGGTCAAACTTCAGGGATTGTTTGTGTCATTTTCCCTTAAGAATGATCACTTGTATAATTTACAAAAATAAATGAACGAAAAATCTTTTCGTTATCACCGAAAATGTTTAGATATATATTATTATCGATAATGAAAGAAAAATTTATTAACCGATTATTTCGAGCGATACAAACGATCATTTTTCAAAAAATATTTTTAAAATTATTTATTTTTCGTGAAACAAACAAAGCCTGAATAGGAAATCTCTCGTCCGAATGATCGCAATAGAAGTTTTGTGTTCAATTCTCTTTTCTAGTCCATTCCCTCTCTTAGGTCCTTATGGTAAATTGATGAAGCTCATGTCATCATCTCAGTAATGTCTCGTTTTGCATTCGCCCATGAACTTCGGTGGAAGACGACGTACACGACACAAGTTCAAGCAAGAATGCAAGTACATTCAAATCTCAGTGGATGAACAGAGCTGACAGTATAGAGGAGACGAGCACAGACAAGGAATCGGAGCTGAGAGAAGACAGAAATGGGACGCTGGAGGCGACATTGATGGCGAGCTTCTGACCGCCCTCGCAATGAGATTTGATGGTGCTGATGAAGTAATACATGCCGTTCGCGTTCGCGGGGAGCAAATATACATAGCTCTCGCCTTCCTCGCCTTCGCCCAACACCTTTGACACCTTTTTGCAGCGGTCGAATTCTTCTTTTGATACGACGGCCACGTTCTAAGTTCCCTTAAAATTGAATTCTGCAGTATATAGTTTCATCACAAGCATTACAATCGACGGGCGGGAACAACAAAAGGACGCCTCTGAAAAGATTTGATCAGAAATAGTTCGCTTATCAATTTAGCGATACAAAATCACTCAAACATGCATATTGGAATGAAAACAATTAAGATGAGGTACAAGCAAACGAAGAAACAATCGCCTTCATGCAAATAATCTTAGATAAGACTCATTTTAAGAATAATATAACAAACCGCGTCAATCACAGTACAAAAGATGTTTAAAGAGTAACTTGTGCCTTTTCCTTTAACCTGGTTTGGGCTGGATGTTATTGAGAGTAAATGGCTTGATCTGGTAATCTCTATACAGTAACTTCTCACGTGATGCAATCGTTCTTTATTTAAGCTAATGCCTAAGTGAAAGAACCAATGTGATGATAAGATATCATCAAGTAAAACAGGGAAGAAACTAAGGAGCTGTGTCGATGGCTTACCCAGAAAGTCACCACCCATGAATACTTTGTTGGCAGCCCAATCCTCATAGAACCCGGAAGTTATGTTCGGCGGAGAAGTCCAACCTACATCATTGCCGACGGTGTAGCGCGCTGCCATCGCGCCCCCCGTGAGACAAGCCATCGCAACGACCAGCGACACGATCAGACTACTTCTGACCATCTTCTTCTTGGGGAGTAGGATTTTCGGGTTGTTTCCAGTGATCTGTCTCTTGAGAATCACAACAAAAGATGGGAGTGTTCTGGGACTAAGAGATGTCGGATATGCAAAATCTCGTGGATGTCTAGCAGAGTATGTCATATGAGGATGGTTTGAATTGTATGCAACCACAGCAATTATTGACACTTCCCATGGAGAAAATGAGATGGGTCAAGTTTGGAGACTGGTAAGAGTTGAAGAGTTCAGATTCAATGGTCCGACCCCCTCGAGGAGCTTGCCTTCCACAGTCGTGTTGAATCCATTCAGACATTTGGGAAGCTTCCCCCAGTCAACTGTGAGAAATCTCTAAACGCATTGGATTGTTTTTGTCTCGAACACAGTTCAATGAAAAATTTATGTTGTCCTTTGTTGTGGATTAACTAATGATGCTTGAGTTGTATAGCCATAAGATCTTGAACTGTTGTACTCCGCGCTTGAATTGTGGTGACTAGATTGAATTTACTTATCATACACAGGGAATTATTCACTTTTCAAAGTAATGATCACACGTAACACGACAATAGCCAATGCATTAGAAATTATAAAGTTTATTTAATTAATTACTTAGAGGGGCACTCGTTAACAAAATCTGTTTACCAATAACTTTATGAGGGGCATTTTGATATTTGGAATTAGTCCCTCGTTATAAATAGCACGAGTACAGCATCATTTGCGAATGTTTGCCAGTAGCCAAGGGCCATTCGCTTGCTCTCCACCAAAGTTCCAACACATCTCTCTCTCTCTCTCTCTCTCTCTCTCTCTCTCTCTCTCTCTCTCTCTCTCAGAGACAGTACTTGAAGAAGATGGGCAGAAGCAGCATGGCGATGGCTCTGGCTTTGGTCGTGTTGGCCTCTATCGAGTGCGAAGCGGTGACTTACTACGTTGTCGGAGACGGCAGAGGATGGACTGCTCCGCCCAACATCACCGCTGGTTTCTACGCCGACTGGGCTGCCAATAAATCCTTCAGCGGCAGCGACCTTTTGCGTAAGCAATCTTAAGCCCCTCCTCCTATTTCGTTTTCGCGACATGGATTTGGAATTTGAGAAGAGAGAACTTTCAACTTTTGTAATAGGGAATAAAACTGAATGAAGTTGGAGGACTTACCTGAGATTGACGGGTAGGAAGGGCATTTTCATTTTTTTGGTGTAGGGATTGATATTCGTGCTAGTTACATATTGGTAGGGGTCAGCAAAAGAGCCGGAGAGCCTAAAAGCCCGGACTGGCCCGAATTTTTTGGGGCCCCGGGCTCGGACCAAGCTTTCAGGCTCCCCTTATTTCTTTTCTTAGGCTGGCTCGAACTTGTTTCCAAAAACAAAAAAAGGAATAATGACACAAATAGTTCATAAATTTTGGCACAATATGCAATATGGTCTCTAAACTTTTAATTTATTCAATGCGGTCCCTAAACTTTTGGTTCATGTTCAATGCAGTCCCCGAATTATATGAAAAGGTTAGATATTGTCCTTCCATTAATTCAAGATCATGGACAACATTGATACTTTCATATAGTCCAGGGACTAAATTGAGCATGTACAAAAGTCAATGGATCACATTGAACAAATGAAAAATTCTAGGACCACATTAAAGATTAGGTTAAAGTTTGAACAAATTAAAAATTCAGATATGACATCGCATATTGGGCCAAAATTCAGAGATTATTTGTATCATTTTTCCTATGAAAGAAAACTTAAAAATAACAAATATAAAAATAATATATAATAGGATATACGTTATTCATACTCGAAACACTTTGATAAAAGTCAAAAATGAATTTGAAAAAAAAACATATAAAAAAAGTGATTTTTGATGTCAAAAAATATATTAATTATTCTAATTTCGCTCTATAAAATAAAAAATAATAATTACTTGGGCTAGGCAGCTCAATCTTCGATCCAGGCATCTTTTATTAAATTGGGGCCGAGCCGAAACAATTGGCCTAGCTCGTGCTCACTCACACCTTTCGGTAGCCGACTAATTGCGACATTGCCTTTGAATTATAGTCAAGGCGACTTGCACGGGTCAAAAACCTCGACTTTACCAATTCATGAGCCTCGTAGGGTATTCCATGTCCCAACTAGATGGGCTCTCGTGTCCTTACCCGATTCGTCCTTCTCAGTCGAACCGCTCGTCGTCTTACATGTTCCCGTGACCGAGATCTCAAATTCAGATAGTTCCGAAGCCGGTATATCTTTAGATTGGGGTTAGCAAACATGAGCACCTTGTCTTAGACAGTGATGCATATACCAATAGGTTTCATGATTCCAATCTAATCCACGACAATATCGTGCTTAATTATGATCGGACAATACCCTCATTTTAAATATTTATGCAGATTTCGACTATAACGGGACGCATAGTTTCGCTGCTGTATCGAAAGAAGACTACGACAATTGTGCCAAGGTTTCTCCCATTGCTAAAGAAGACCAAGTAAAGGTATGTTTGCCAAAAGATATACGTATCGAATCAGTCTTTTGCCACCTTTTCACTCGTGCCGGTTTTGATATTCATTCTTATCTTGATTCCCATCGCTATAAATACCCCCAAAGAGCTGCCTTAGCTTCAAACCACCCTACACACTTTCGCACCCATCAGAAGTTGCAATTGTGAAAGAAGATTCGAGGGTATTGAATCGTTTTGGATTTAAGAGGGGGAGACTCGCAATTTGGAAGAAAAGATGGGGAGAGGCGTCGTATTAGCAGGTTTCTTGGTCGTCGCAATGCTGGCTTGCCTCGGAGGTGCGGCGGCGATGGAGTATGTAGTCGGCGATAGCCGAGGTTGGACCGCGTCGCCAAACATCACTGTCGGGTATTATGACGAGTGGGCCGCCGGCCAAACTTTTAGGGGCGGCAACACTTTGAGTAAGCATTCGTCTACTTATTTTCCTTCTTAGGAACATGTTTAGTATCCTCACTTAGATATGTAGAGGAACAATTTCATGTCCACATGTTAGTTCGCTTGCTTGATGCTGACGATATACTTCTGTCAGCTTATATTGGTGTTTAGATTTACTTGGACAGTAATCAACATAAATCGATAATCTTTCTAAAATTCAAGGAGTCAAAACGTGACAATTCATAGCAATTTTAATTCTTCTTTTCTTGTGTCATATTATACTCATAATTGTTAAACCCGCTCTATAATGCAAAGTTTGTATGGAATGAGACGCACAACGTCGCGATCGTATCAAGAGAAGAATACGACAACTGCACTAAAGTGACCTTGTATTTCCAGGACGGTGAAGCGTTCAGTGTCACATTTCCAGCGAACGCAAGTGGCTCATACTATTTCATCTCCACCATTGATGTTGCGAGAATGGCCAGAAGCTAGCCATCAACATCGTTAGCCTTACCCCAGCCGAGTCACCGAATAGCTCAGCTTCCTCAATCACCGCCGGCGCCTTGTCTGTGCTAGTTCTCGTATCATCAAGCATCACCGCAATGTTTATGAACTAGATTTGTGATGATGTGTATATTTGACTTATATTTTGATTATATTTGGTGGCATTTTGGGCAAATATTCAAATAAATAGAGTGTAATTTATTTGTTTTTATGCATTGTGGTCAGGTGATGGTGAATGACGCAATCGTGAAGATTTTGGACGCTTTTGATGTGTTTTTGAGCTGTTGGTTGGGATTCTGCATGTAAAAGATCCATTTTCCAGAGATCTGTGCTCACGGTTTAAGGTCGCGCGGATGCAGAGCTGATGCAGAATTTGGGGACGTGATTTGGCCATTAATTTCCATATTTTCTAGATCTGATTGTGGAGGATTTTTGTACTTAAATAGGACTCTTAATTAGAGACATTAGGGAGAAGTTTTTGCCTTTTTTTTCTCTTTCCATATTGGATAGAATTTCTTTTTCTAGACTTTCTCTTTTTTTATTTAAGAGGTTGAACGCAAGAGGGGAGGAGAGACTTGACTCCAGAAAATTCAGAAACATATTATTTTGTGCATTTTGTAGCCATGTGTGGCTAACTCCTCTTTAATCTAGCAAAGGATTATCAAAGTTCAAGTTCATTCAAGTTGTGAGATCTAAACTTAATCCTCCTTCTTAATTTCTGCAGTATTTATATATTCTCTGTTTTATTGTTTACCATTGCTTTGTTGGTTGTTACAATAAGAGCTCGTTGTGCAATTAACAGGGTGATAGTTTGCCAATTGAAATACCCAAACCCGTAATTGTTTAGGTGTTTTAATAATAATGGCAAATAATATGACTTGATTAAAACCAGATTTTCAAGTTGTATTATGAGAATATATGATCTAGCTTGAATAAGTTACGCGTGTGATTTATTGACTAGGGTTGGGTTTTTCTCTAACTGATATAAACGATTATTTTTAAGAAAATACTTTCCAAATCATTAATTTTCGGTGAAACAAAAATACTATCAATTGCTCTGCTGTTTTTAAGTCAGTGCCTGAAGCAAAAGTCTTGAGGCATGGAATCTACGGAGGACACCTTCCTGGAAGATGGTTTTAGTTAATTGAAAATTTTTTAAGCCCTCTTTACGTTTTCTGTAATATGATAGAGTATTCACATTGCACAAACTTACCTTGCATCCATGTCCGAGGCAACAAATGATAGAATTGTCATCTACAGTCTTGCATACACCTTCTTGGAAGATAGCCGAAGTCTTTGGGTCTTATCGGAGGCATTATTTTACCTTAAAAAGTCGCTTTCATGTCCAACGATAGTTGATACCCTGTGTTTTGAAAATATATCTCTAATATCCAGATCGTGAATGTAATAGATATCCATGATGTTATGGATGATGAACATGAAGATGTTATAACCACTTGATAGATGAGAGTATAACTCTAATAAATCAAACCTAAAACTATCAATTTATTGACTTAGGATATGCTCAAATAAGAATGAAAATTAGGGAGTATTGAGAGCTTACTCACACTATACATCCAATGAAAAGACCATTTAGTTATTATTTCCATTTTGTAACAACGGTAACTCTTTAGCAATTATAAGTTAAGTAAATTTATCTATTTCGATTTAGCAAATCATATTTTAGTATGATACTTTTAAAGTTTAACTTTACTTTGATAATTCTTAATTTACCATGATCCACACAAGCTATTTGCATTTTGCTTTTCCTTCTTGCAAAGTAGACTCATTTGGATTTTAATATTCAGTTTTTCACCAGTACACCTTAATATTTTAGCATCAACCAACTTACTCAATGGCAAGTTCTAATCAAAATGACATAAACATTAAGATTACATTGTGAACTTATGATTTATGAACTGGACTTTCCTTTATATTATGAATAGAAATTTAGTTGAAGATCATATGAATATAATTTTGAGTCTAATCCCAAACTGTAAGTTTTATCAGGTAATTTTTACTTGACCATCGTTTGATTATAGCTTGTCCGGTGATTTCATGTGATTTTCAGTTTTTCTGGCGGTACTTATCATGTGATATATATAACTCTCATCTGCGTTAATTCCTCCTTTGCAAAGTGGATGAGTTGGTTTCCACTTTGTCCAGGCGAAGTCCAACTCAACCTAAAGGTGGCGGGACCACACTTCGTACACAATATTAAAAATAGTCGATGGACTTCCGGGAAACATTTAATTTGAATCTTAAATCTTAATTTTGTTCAATTTGATGTTGTACGCTTTTGAATCGAACTAATTTTGATGCGCGCATTCAATCTCGGGCTAAACCGAAGCCACATCGAGAGGATTTCCATAGCAACCACACATGACAAATTTAATGCGAAGTTATTTTTTCTTTCAATTTGATTCTTTAATCCAAGTCGTTTGAGTTAATTTTAGAATTTGTCTGTCAAAAGAATCACGAGACCCTTGTTTCTCTTGTATATCTGCCTACCTGTACCAATGAAATGGTATCAGAGGGAGAATTTGCAAAACACTCCTGTTCTCTTTTTGACGATGAGTTTACTAAGCATAAAGTGGGAACAATTATTTAGCCGCTGTAAAGATTCATGAGAAGATAAGATCAACATGTGAATGATAAGATAAAATATGGAAATGAGACAACAGAGTTAGGTTGAGAATGAGACAAGTACATTTAATTAGAAATTTTTTTCTTTCCTTTTTTTTCTTTTTCTTCTTCCTCGGACGGTGGCCAGCCACAGGTGAGGTCGAGGCCTCACCTACCTATGGCAAGCCTTGAGCCTCGCCAATCTAGTGAGCCTCGCCAATCTAGTGAGCCTCAAGCTTGCCAACCTTTGGTGAGCTCGAGCTTGCCGATCTGGCAAGGCCGAGGCCTCACTGACCTTAGTGAGACTCGAGCCAGCTAGCCTAGTGCAAGCTTGAGCTCGCCGATCTGGCGAAGCTGAGGCCTCATTGACCTCTAGCGCTAGCCTTAGCCTTGCTAGATCGATGAGCTCATCCATCGCCTGTAGCCGGTCTCCGGCCATCGCCAGCCGGCTAAAGAAGAAGGAAAAAGAAAAAAAGAAAAGAAAAATAATTGAAAATATGATTTTTTTAAAAATAATACAAAATAAAAATTATTAAAAGGAGTGCACGGAAGAAAATCAAATCAGATTTTTCGTACCAAACGACGAAAAATATTTTTCAGTTCATTTTTAGATTTCAGCTAAACATCGAAAAATACTGTCATTTTCCTGAAAAATAACTTCCTAGAAAATATTTTCCAGAAATATAACATTTTTCGCGAAACAAACGAAGCCTCAATTTTAAAAAAATATAAAAATTATCCACTAAATTTGTATTGCATTTAAGTGTTTTAGCAATAATTTTTTAAAAAAAACATAAGAATCAAGCTTTCCTAGATTTAGTTAAATGGGTCGAATATGGGTCTAAAAATTTGCATTGCGATAAATGAGTAATAATTAAGGTTAAATGGGTTAATTTTGGTTGAACCATTTATAACCCGATCCAAACCCGACCCGACTTATCCGTTTGACAAGTCTAAGCATATGAGAAGTTGATATAGAAATTGCAAATTTTTCTTTCTCCATCACCAACGACTTCTCGTCAACGTTAACCATATGGTATAGGGTAAAAATATATTATGAAACGAAACAAGTTGCACAAACTGGGACCATATTAGTATTCAAGTCAACAAGACAAGTTCTTTTGGCGAACGGGTGTAATCCATCATTCAAAAAGGAAAACAAGATTTGCACATGAAGTTTTTCCCTTTCATACTTTTTCGCGACAGGATAAATAACAGGAGACACGCTCTAATAGCTTGATTCCTTTTATTTTATAGAAACTCCGTGTATTTCATTAGATTACTTTCAAAAAGTTGTCCAAAATTTCATAAAATATCACCTAAAAAAGTTGTCGGGCACTCAGGAAGGTTTTGCTATGTGAGTTTTTTTTTTTTTGGGTCAGATTTGCCATGTGGGTTGAATAAGCATAAAATTGGAATAATTTCTTAGCCGCGGTAAAGATTCCCGTGAAGTTAAGGTCAACATTTAATTCATAAAATGCAATGCATTGAAGATAAAATATTGGAATGACATATCAGAATTCGGTTGAGAATGAGACGTCTACTTTTAATTAGCGACTTATCGCAATTTCCCGTGGGATTCCCATTCGAGAGCCACGTAGAAACATAGGAGAACCTTATCATATGACGTCAAGGACTCTTCCTTATCGGTGTGCCTATAATACAGGTCAAGTTGTTCATTTATATCATTTGCAGGACACGAATCAATTATTGGCCGGTAGCCTTTGGTCATCATCTGCAAAGAGGATCAAAATTATAGCACGCGGAGTCTTTGCGAGAGAATGGTGTAAAATTAATGCGAAAATTAACCAATTTTACAATTAAATTAACGCAAAATTACCAAAAAAAACGAGAAACAATGAAAGGACAAACACATTGGAAGTTATAAAATTTGTCACAAAAGTGTAATTGATCCTAAAACTTTCAAAAAGTGTAATTAAGTCCTAAAACTTATCACGAAAGTGCAATTAAGTCCTAAAAATTATCAAATTGATCCAATCAAGTCCTTCCGTTAATTGCGCTTTTTGAAAGTTTTAGAATTCGATTGCACTTCCGCGATAAGTTTTAGGACTTCATTGCATTGTTTGCACTGGAAGTCACAAACTTATATTATATGACTCAATTGCACTTTCGTGACAAGTTTTTAGACTTCCAATGCACTTATTCCAACAATAAAGAACACCAAAGCTTTACTGGATTCAATTCAAGTGTCGGTACCTACTCTATCAGGAGAATTAGCAGCAAGTTATCTATTAATTATCAGAAAAGCGCAGACTTACAATCGTTCATACACTTGAAGGTTTTACATTATACCCAAATCTACAGTATGTAAAACTCGTAACATAAAATCTATCGCGTTCAGATACGTTCGTCCGGCCAAAAGAAAGAGAACTCCACTTCTTTTTTCTTCATGCGGCTTCGACAGGAGAGAAAAAATAAAAGCAAAACCCCCGCCTTTTATAATGTGTACGTGAGCCCCTTCTTTTTGGTATAGCCAAAGGAAGCGCTCCTCTGTAAGCAATATAAAGAAAGTCCAACAAGTCAAACCGGTCTATCTTGGACAAAAGATTCTCTCTTAACCGATCAAGACTTGGAATCTTTAAAAGCTGTACATTGGCATCTCCTCTATATCCTCTGTTGGTCCTTCGTTGTTTATCTCCAGAAAATTATTCCACCGTGAACAAGTTAAAATTCTCCAAACTGGTCGGGTTTCATAAACTCGTGACATAATTCAAGAGAGAAGTTCTCGCAAAATTGTCTTCTTTCATCACGGACGACTTCTCATCATCGCCAACCATATGGTATATCGTAAGAATATACTCTGAAACGACAGATGCTGCATAGACCGGAACCATAGAAGAATTCAAGTCAACAAAAGTAAATCTTTTGGCCAAAGGATGTAATCCATCATTCTTAAACCAAACATGGCCCAGACCACGTTTTGGTGCTTTTCGACCACTCCATGTTCGTCACTAACAAACACCATAATAACAGAATACCACATTATTTTTATTTATGATTAAATAAATTATATAGAAACGACCAAATTATTCTAGAAATGGTCAAGCCTGTGCTTAGTTATAAAGAGGCCTAGCAACTTAAGCCGATTGACATCACGGCTTCAACTTTCTAAGAAAGCAGAAAGTCTCTTTTGCATTCTCCGTTTACTGTGTTGTTGAAAGACTGTAACCAGGAGAGCAACCCAATGGCAACGCAACCCAGTGAAAGACAAGGAAGTTCGGAACATGCAGAACCACCAGCAGGTACATGTTCAAGTTTCAACCATGAAAAAGAAAATGGTATAAGCGATGTGGTCTTAGAATATTCTGGAATGTGTATTTTGTCATGGTTCTTTTTCTTTGCTTTGTCATCGAACACACATAGCCCTGACCTTCGCTAGGGAAAAGGGAAACAGAAAAATCAGTATAACAAGGATTTTGTGCTCACTCTTTCTCTTACATATATTGAAGATGTTCGTGTAAACGTTGGATCAGCTCCTTCTCAATCTGAAGGTACTCCAGGTGCGTTATCCTTCAAAAGAGTAATTTCATTGTGAAATTGATATTTGGGGTGGATCTTGATGAAATTGTTCTCTTCTCGGACACTTATCAATATGTGCAAGGAAAAAGGTATTAACACAGTGGCCTGAGAAGTTCGCATCCATTTTGCAGGAGTATCGGAAAATGTAGTCAATGGAGACCATTACCGACCATTGTTGCAAGCTGCTTTCACGGGTGATTGGGAATCTGCTGAGAAAATTTTTCTACGACATCCTAGTTCAAAGCTAGCCAATATAACGAGCAGATCCGAAACAGCGCTTCACATAGCGGCTTTGAATGCACAAGACCAATTTGTTGAGAACCTGATTGAGCTCTTGTCTCAATCTCTGGAAGAGCTTGAAAAGGTTGATTGTGGTGGTCGCACAGCCCTCCACCATGCTGTCCTGTGTGGAAGGATACGGATCGTCGAGGCATTAGTTAGAAGTAATCGTAGGTTGACGCAAATACAAGATAAGGAAGGATGTCTTCCTTTCAATTTATCCACTCAGGAAGCTTCTATGCATAAGGAGATTGCCTGGTTCCTGGCCAAAAATACGACATTTGATGGGCCAACTCATCCCGACAGCAGTCCCAACGCGATTCAATGCATTGTAGGTCTCGCCTACGCTGGTCATCTTGGTAAGATCACTATCACTCTGTCTCAATTCCATCTGTTTTTATTTCCCTTCATTCTATACTTAGCTTATTTTCTTGATCAACTTTGCTGGTCAATTCGGATAGATATAATCCTTTATCTACTCGGGCAATACCCTTCACTCATTCTAAGGAAAGGCCCAGGCGAGACAGGAAAGTCTCTACTGGGCGTGTTGGCGAGGATGCAGTCTCACTTTCTCAGCGGAACTAGGCTCAGTGTTTGGGAAGCATTAATATACAAATGTCCGTACTTTCTGCACCCGCGTCCTTTCATTACTGATTCCCTTCCAGAAGATCATACATGGCTCATCACCTGCTCTTTTGTATCTGAACTGAAGGTATTCCCGTTGACATGAACTACAAGCCAACAGATGAAACTTCGACTAATGTGCAAACGTCAACGAATCTGGGTGGGCATGCATTTTTATAGTTGGGCATTATCTAATTTACGACCTTCCAAGATTTTTAACTTAAGTCAATTTTCTTAGATTGATTCCCTCCCTACAGCAAAGGAAACCGAAAATGATAGTTTCTGTGTAGAATATATTCTGGTTTTTTAACCTAGTTTTACTTGAATAATAGCCTGACCTCGAACTACTTTATGGATTAGTTATCCTCTGGGAACCACATATGATTCAACCAAGTGCATAAGTATTGTATGACTTATTTAATGGACAATGTAACGAACGAATTAAGACGCAGAACGAAGCGATGCTACACTGATTGGTGTCCTTTATCCTCATCCATATCTCTGTAGCGGATCACTTGCACTCCCAAGTATTGATCCATGTGAATGTCAATGTTGATTGTTTTGATATCTGTAACTATCAACCATTAAGATTGTCAGGACACCAGTTATTATAATCTATGTAGTAAAGTATCTTCATTCCACTTACACACATTGATTTTACATCCATTGACCTGGTTCTATCTGCAACTTCATCGTAGCGCTTCAATGTCTTACAAGGTCACTTTGGAATGCCGCCAACATTGTAGGTACGCTTCCATTTTATGAACACAACTTCTCTGTCTCTGTCTCTCTCCAATCAAAAGTCTCTGGCTTGTTTGGTTTTGACTTCTTTTATAAGTAGAAAAAAGTTCCTAGTTAATTTTTATGCCGTAATTTAAAAAAAAAAAAATGACTTTAGTTGGTCCACTGCCTGTATAGAAAAATCCTTGCATATTCATCGGTAGATCATAGATTAGTGACATGTGTAGTGGAGTTTGCGACTAAGTTTTGCCACATGTCAACCATCCAAAGGTTCGTGTGTAATTAATTTTTTACATTGGCAGTTAATAAAAATCATTTAGAAAATTATTCAAACTCATACAAAATTATATATGATTCGCCCGACAATATTCGTATGTTTTGACAGATTTCCGGTATTCATCAATTTTTAATTGCAAGAGTCACGGAATTAAAAACGAAAAGGCAAAAAATAATCCTTGAGATTGCAAATTGAGGCGAGATTTGATGTTAACCTAAACTCATCTTGCTTATGGCTAATTGATCTAAGCAGAAGACATTGAATAAGAGTTAGTTAACCTAGGACTTCTCCTTCAATCTTGATTGGTATGTTCCCTTCATCTTCTCTACAAGCATGTTAATATTTCTGAAAAAAAAAAAGAACAGAGAGTTTTTTTTTTTTGGTCGAAAGAACAGAGAATTAATATGTATTTGTTTCCTCCCCAATGGGATGAAGTGCTAAGCGTAGATCATCTCAACACAACACGACACAATATGTTGAGAGGGTGCAGGAATTGGGCATGGAACAGGGGACAGCCCCTAGCTTCATACACTATACAATAAGGTTGTAATAGATGAAGGCACAGATTTATCATTTAATCGCATTTAACATAGTAAGTATACACTTTATTTGGGAACTTCAGAAAGGCGTGAAGAACAGGAATAAGGGGAAGAAAGCAGGTAGGAAAAATCAATGTAATTTGTTTAGGAGGGCTTTGTAATAGGAGAGGATTTCAGAGGGAGCAAATTTCTTGGGCCCCAAAAAAACGGTGCATTCCAGAATTCCACTCCCAGTTATATCTTGTACCCACAAGCTGTTGGCTAGCTAGATGAGCTATGGCAAGGAATTTTTCTTATCTCCTTGTGATTTTGTATTCAAGAATTGTTAGGAGTAATCTAGAAATAAAATCCTAAATACACCATATCAATACGGGGGAGTGCACTCTTGAAAACAACCAGAAAGGAGGACTGTACGCGAAAGTTCATCTGAACAAAACCTAACTGCTAAAGAAATTTTATAGTTCCCAAAACTTACTTGAGAACTTTTGTTCGCAGTCGCACTCGCCCTGTCATCTTCACCCAACTTCCGTATGCACCCGAAATACCCATTAGCCCTTGTCCCTAATTTTTCTATTTTTGTCAACGAACAAAAAGGAAAATGTCCTTACTCTTACCAAAAAAAAAAAGGAAAATGAAGAACAGTGCAGTTGAATATTTTTTATAAAATAAAAATTTACTTTAGAATAGAGTCGAGTTAACTATACTCATCATGTCATTTAGGTGTAACAAGTAAACTCGAACGTGACATACCAGTGACCTCATGTGTAAGTTATAATTTTATTAGAGGCAGATAGAATGAGTAAAAAAAAACTTGTTCTTGTACTGAGCATGAATAACAACACAAAGGATTGGACGGTCAATGTGATTTTTTAATACGAGCTGCTATTTGCATTTGAAGATTTATTATTGTAGATAATTTTATATCTGCAAATATTACTATGATTTACTCTAGCTAGACGCATGTAATTAGCGTGGTCATTGTCAGAGTTATTCCGTCGGGTTAAGTCTTGTAGAGCAATTACTTAAACCCACATTTTGCATTTGAGGACAATTCCGTCGGGTGTGGTGTTGGGTTTAAATCCATTTCCGGCTTTTCGTTTACATTTCTTTTTACCTTATTTTTCAAATATTTTAGTACCTTCAATCAAGAGGATTCACGATGTGAAGTGGAGACACGAGGCAGCCGTGGAGTTGGTAAAAATAGTTTGCAATGCGCTCTCTGAAAGGAACCCTACCGAGATCACCCAGTTTTTCCAAGATAGGGACCTACTGGCTCAAGCTACAGTCAAGGGAATCAGTGAACTCGTGAAGCTATCCATTCAATATTTCCCGGAGCTTATTTGGATTTCGCCTTATGGTACTACGTTGATGACACTTGCTGTGCAGTATCGCCAAGAGAGGATTCTCAGACTCTTTTTGAAGGAGAGCTCAACCAATGGGTTGTCATTAGTTCCAACGCCTACAGAGATAGAATCGGGGAAAATGATGCGCGCTGCAGCAAAGTGCAACCCTGATATCGATGATGTAACTAATGTCTCCGGAGCAGCCTTTCAAATGCAAAGAGAAATCCAATGGTTTAAGGTAAGTATATTTCTTTTCATATAATTAATAATTGGGCTTAATGATAATATCTTATTGACAAATATCTTCAAACATTATGGTTAGAACTTCATTTGGATAATCTTGAGAAAATACATAGCTATTGAGCGATGTTAGGGCTAGCTTTCGTGCACCTCAACTGGTTCACTCCCCAGGTGATTTTAAGGGCGTATTGCCCCACATTGTTCTGATACACATGATTTTAATCCTGAAATACTCCCAACCAGACTTGAATCTAAGACCACAAGGAGAAGAATAAACTCTTTTGCCATCTAAGCTAACATCTTGTCTATACATAAAATTGTTAAATTCCACATGCTAAACATAAATAATAAAGTAAGTTCACAAACGACACTATATCCTTAGAAATAATTGCAGCAAATTAGGGGCCTGATTAGAGAAATTGGGCCACTACAAACTGATTGAAACTCATTATAATTAAATTGCACATAAACTTTACTAATATAACTATGATCCACCACTGAATCTAATCCAAGCGACTCTTTCTTAAATCCAACCGACCATTTCTATTGGTGTCTACCACGATGCAATTAAGTGATTATTATCTAAATCATTTCATGAATAACCCACATATAACAATTTGGAGCAAAAAAAAAACATATGAATTAGTTTTGCTTATATTTTCACGATAGCTTTGCTAGTTCCGTGCATCATATTTTTCTTTTAAGAATGTAGTGAAGTTCAAATATAATTAAATATGTAGATGGATAATGATTAAATTATAGCAGTGTGAGATGAATCTTCTCTTTTCTAATCAAAAGGTTAGCTAAGTTCATTTATGGCCACTGTTTTCATTTGAATAGCTATTAATTCAAGAACACTTCTCATTAGTTAGTTTAGCTATTAACGAAAGTTTTACTCATGCAAACCATTGTCTACAAACAAAAATTGATATCATGAAGCTTCTACTATATATTTACCTTTATTTCATTTCTACTATCTATTCTCTTTGTCATTAAAAAAAATTGGGACAATACGTACAGCAAGAGTTTTAAAATTTGTACCGATCATGTACTTGAGTCCGAAAACTTTGAATTCATGCTCTAATTGAAACAGACTAGGCACGGCAACCAAAAGGGGATGAATTGATTGTTCTGAAAAATGTGAGAACTTCTTCACGAATACATGATGGACAATATGTAGAAGGTGTACTGGTACTATAGAAACATGAATTATTATGTAGAATCACGATCTTCTATTAAATAGAAATTGAAAGAGTTTAAGGGATAAAAGAAATGCAAACAAGTATAGTAATTCGGCCTTCCACTTGGCCTACTTCACTCTCCCAGCCTCAATAAGAATGGAATCCACTATATAATCCTTAAGATGTTACAACTTTTGGAGTTTCTTTTACAAACTCGGGCACCTCTCACGATACTATATCACCCTCTTTCCATATTACAAATGTCCACAATTTCTACAGAAATATATAAACATAAATAATTCTATTTTGATAAAATTGCAATGTATTGGTCTAAAAAAACACATAGAGACACTAAATGATATATTCTCAGATTTCCTTACCAACTCTTTGCATTTTGTCCGTAACTCGCACTTGAAGACTCCAAGTTGTATAAAAGTTCATTCATTTGGAAGTAGACACCTAGGGCTTCCGGTCCATGTATTATTATTTCACTTTAGTGAAGCACAAAATCATCATCAAAGCTCACATGTAAGTGACCCTTGATATTCTACGAACAGAGATAGACTTAACCTCTAAAGAATTTTAAACTAATTGTTAGATGAGTCTTAATCTCCTTGATTTGTTCCTTTATCATTCTCCCTTGATTGATGAAAAACACTTGTCCTCAAGCCTGTCTCATTCTCATTATCGAAGTACAAAGAAAATTCAATGACATTAAATGTTGCCGAGACTCCATCATTGTCGGCCATATGATCTTTGTAAGCATTTTCACCAACTCTATTTAAGACCCGAAATGAGCCACCAATTTTTGGTTTGATTTTTTCGGCACGCCCAGAAGATATCCACTTTCTAGGACTCATCTGGTACGCCATTGTGGTTTGAATAAAAGCAATAAGCACAAAATTAAAGGGAAAAGTACCAAGAAAGTTCTAAAACTATTGTATTGGTACAAATTCAGTCATAAATCTTTCAATTGGATCAATTTAGTCCTAAATTTTTTTACATTGGTACAAACTCAGTCCATCCGGCCAATTCAGGCCGGAAACTGCTAACGTGGATGCCGAGCATCCTATGTGGCACAACCGGCATTGATGTGGATAATTTTTTTAATAAATTTTCCAATTTTTTTCCCTTTTTTTATTTTTTTCCTTTTCTTTTTTTCTTTCCTTTTTTTTTCCTTTTCTTTTTCTTTGGCTTATGGCTGGCAATCGGCCACCGACGAGGGCCAACGAAGGCGTCACGGCCCTCACCGAATCTGGCAAGGGCCCAACCCTCGCAATTTCTGGCGACGAGGGTGGCCCTCGCCAGATTCGGCGAGGCTAACCATTGACGGCCCTCGCATGTGACTGGTCGCCGGCCATAATCGAGTACTGGCCATAGGCCAAGGGAAGAAAAGGAAAGGAAAAAAAGGGAAATTTTTTTTAAAATTATTTTAAAAAATTTGAAAAATTATTAAAAAATTGTCCACGTCGACCATGCTACATAGGATGGCTAGTGTCCATGTCAGCAATTTCCGGCCTAAATTAGCCGGATGAACTCAATTGGTACCAATCGAAAAATATTTAGGACTAAATTGGTCCAACTTTATTTTTTTTATCGTGAATTGGTCTAATTGAAAGATCTAGGACTGAATTAGTACCGATGCAATAGATTTAAAACTTTTTTTATACTTTTCCCTTACTGCCGAACTTCTCCCATAAGAGATAAACCCAATGTAATATCAATACCATTGTATCAAGGATGTCGTGAAATGAGGGATACAACCTGATTTGGATCTCCTTTCTGGCTTCATGTTCTTGATTCTCGGCAATGTTCTTGTAACCAAAATCTCTTTCAATGGTCTCAAGCCAATTGTAGTCTTTTGAGATGTCGACTTTGACATCAAAATCATAAGAATCGCCGCAATTCCTTTGACGATGGCCCAAAGGATTCTCTTCACTAGATGTGTTGGAATGGACATCATGGGAGGAATATTCTCCTCTTCGATGTTGTTTTCTCACGATCATACGGGGATCGTCACATCTCAACAATCGAGATTTCTCCAAATGTTCTTGGAGTTATTATACTTCTCAAATATTCCATTCGACAACACGGTGGTCACCAATAAGTACACAACGAGGGCCATCAGCCATAGCCAATACTCCGACACCAACGCTTATAAGAAGGGTCCGAGATTTAAAAGGTTGCACGAGTGCGATTAGAAAAATGCTCGCCACCTGAGAAACCCATCTCAGGATACTGGACATATGATAGGATAGATGCCCACTACCTAGGGAATTCACTTCGGGATGTAAGGCATAAGAAGGATAGATGCTCATTACCTGAAGGAATCCACCTCAAGATAGGAGGTATGTATCTCACCGCTCAATGAAATCCATCAAAAAGATACAGAGTAAACGAAAACCTAATCAAAGAGTTTAGCTGCACAAAATGACAAAACACTCACTTACCCTCGACAAAGCCTTTGACACTAACCTTCCAAGCATGGGCAAATCTCATGACACTAACCTTTCACTCCCAAAGACCATCAACCCCAGACAAATCATAAATACTAACATCGACTTTTAACTCAAATAACTCCAGAAAAAATATACAATGCATAGGTCAATAAAGCAAAGGAAATACTAAAAGACTAGTTCTCGGATTTCCCAACCGGCTATTAATATTTTTTTCCATAAATTCCTCTAGAAGATTCTAGATTGGATGAAACTCGATTCATTGGAAAGTAGAAACATAGCTCTATCCATACATATTGAAGCACGAAATCATTGAAGCTCAAAAAGATCTTGCCAGAAAAGATGGACAATATTTAAGTAATATCGCATTTAGGCTCTGTTTATTTCGCTGAAAATAGACGATTGGAAAATATTTACCAAAAAATAATCGTTTGTATAGCTTAAAATGATGAGTCAATGAAAAATATTTTCATTATCGATAACAATTTATGCCTAAACATTTTCGGGTATTATGAAAATATTTTTCGTTCATTCATATTTATATGAGATATAAGCGATTATTTCAAGAAAAATATTTTTCAAATTATTCATTTTCCACAAAACAAATAGAGTCTAAGTGTTGCATAAGTCTTCATCTCCTTGAGATGTTCCTTTGTCATTTTTTGAAAATTTTCAATAATTTATCCACTTATTGTAACTCACGTTTGTGACTTTTATGCATAGGCTGTGGAAAGTTGGGTTACCCCTGACATGAGAACCGCCAGGTCAGGGCCTGATAATAAAACATACTGGCAAATGTTTGTGGAGAAACACCAAAAGTTGCTTGAGAATGGACAGAAGTGGGTGAAGGAGACAGCAGATAAATGTATGCTCGTCTCAACTCTAATTGCCACAGTATTGTTCGCTGCTGTTTTCACCGTTCCTGGAACCAATATTGATAGTAATGATTTCCCATTAAAGGGCTCTGTTCTGGTGTTTGCAATTTCGGATGGGTTAGGTTTGCTCTGCTCCATGACAGCAATCTTGCTATTCCTAGCCATCTTAACTTCACGGGATGAACCGCTAGATTTTTTTGACTCGTTGCCTAAGAAGATCATAATGGGCCTTTCTTCTCTCTTCCTCTCCTTGGCTTTCATGCTGGTGGCCTTTGCTGCAGCTCTCAGATTTGTGCTGGATAAGACATTGGAGTGGGTTGTCATTCCCATTGCTTTGCTGACGTCTCTTCCCGTGGCTTTATTCATAGTACTTCAGCTTCCCCTGCTATTCCAAATGGTTAGATCCACTTATGGACCTAGCATCTTTCGTGCAGAGGGCATACGGAAGTGAGGCTTAATTAATGGACGAGATCATGTGATTTACGAATTTTATTTAAGGGTATAGATCTTCGTTATAGTTGGTTGTAGCTGGGCAAATGTGATACTTAATGTATTTCCTCAAAAGCGCATGAACAATTACTATGCAAAATTATGTTTCACTACCTTGTTATGAAAGATCTATTTATAAAATGATTTGATCAATATAAAGTTTCAGCATACAAATATTTCAAAATGGAATTTATATATGCATAAACAATTATTTTACACATTTAGTACTAAAATATCCACGATCATGGAAAATTACCTTTTTATGAAATAGTTTATTTAGATGCAGAATAATTTTTTCAACTTAAATATTCAACCTCCAGGTAATCCAAAATGGACTCTTCATGTTATAGAAAAAATTATTCTAAACATTTATTGCCAAAATATGGGCAATAGTTCAATATAACAAAATTTTATTGTTTCTTGTTATAGATTGGAGGCATGAATTTGTTACATAAAATAAAAAGTTTAACATTGTTTGAAAAATGCAATCAGCCTTATTCTTTCATAGATATTTCAAAATTAAATCTATATATATGGAAACAGTTATTTTAAACGATTTACTACCAAAAAACGCGAAATATGGAAAACAAATTTAAACATTTAATTTTTCTGTATAGAGTGCTCCTGAGATGAACGATTTGATAATTGAAACAATCCATATATAAAGAATATCATTAATAAGAATTATAATAAACTTAGTGTTGACACGTAATTTTTAACCGACGTGTCGTAAAGGTAAAAACTTGAGATTAGGGTTTCTGATTGCGACGGAACCCGTTTCTCAACGAAAAGAGTCATTTAGCATTTGAATTAATATTAGTCTTTCATTTTCTAGCTTTTTGCACCTTAACCTCAAAAAGTCAAAATATTGACTTTTGAGTCAGAAAAATAATTTAAAAAATCAAAAAAATTTAAAATATTATTGAAAATTATCCACGTCAACAATATCCGGCCAAAAATTAGTCGAAAGGACTGAATTGACATTATATCAAAAGGTTTATAACTAAATTAACATAAATGCAATAGGTTTAAGATTTTTCTGACACTTTTCTCAAAATATAGTTACTCGATTATGCTCACAAGTTATGAGACGGTGTTTTGGACAATGGGGAGAGAAGATGGATTTATTACGTGATGGGGATGAAATTTGGTGGATTACTTAAGATCTAAGTAAATGGAAAATGCAGGCAATTAATTAGGCTAATCTCCAACCAAGCTTAGCCTTTTGTCCCAATACGGCCGAAATCACAATCTAAATTAATTAGGGTAATCTCCAGATGTCGCGACCTACCCGTCCCAATCAGGGGGAGAATGTATGTATAGGTATAGGTCTAAAAGTATTTGTCAATAGACGTGAATATCGTTTGGTTCGTTCGAACGACAAACCAAAAGGCTCATCTATCCAAGGACGGAGGCTCTCCCAAGCCTCATACCTTGTGCTACGTGAGTTTTTCTAATCTATATATTCACTAGGAGTCGTCACCAACCATTATCAAGGGTTGACTAGAAATCCTAATCAAGATGCGAGAGTGTCGTCTTGATACGTGCGCAACAAGAGATTCTTAGGATCGGAAACTTGATTACACTAAGCGTCTAATTAGTGCCCTTTCGATACCTAAACTTGACCATTTGCTAACTAAAGCGTCAAGACAGACAATTGAAGAGCCTAAAGTTCATCATATTCGTGCTAAAAATGGAAAATAACAATCAATATATTAAAAGTGCGCAATGAAATAATCAAAATAGAAATAAATAAACAGCGACCTACCACCGTCTCTACAAAATGAAAAGGCAATCAAATGCCCTATGGTAAAGCCCTAAAGGCTTATTCAATTTTTGGGTTCAATTTTCAAAGGTTTTCACATTTTTCTATTTTGTATACTAAGTCTAAAGTAAAATTAACACTAAATCTAGTGAAATTAACTCAAAAACTAATTTCTAAACTTTTCCTAAATTTTCGGAATTTTTCTGAATTTTTTAATTTTTTTAATATTTTTTAATAATTTTTTAAAATATTTTTTTAAGGAAAAATAGACTTCGGACCGGGTCAACCCGGTCCGATTCGCCGGTCTGACCCGGACCGCGGGTCCGGGTTGGGTCTGGAATTCGGACCCGCTTTGGGCCAGGTCCGAATCAACTAAATTCAGCCCAAACAAAATTTGATTTAAAATGTAAAACAGGCCCACAATTCTCTGAGCCCAATTTGCATACTTGGCCTAGTTAATTGAGCCTTTAACACCTCAGCCCACATCATTGGATTTTCTGATCCAGCCCGTCCTCCAACGCGATCTCCTGGTCCGAGATCCGAATTTTTGCCTCTTTTCCAATTTTTTCATTTTCCTTTTTCTAATTTCCTTCTTATTCTATTTTTCTATTTTTTATTTCTGTCCTTTTGCTTTTCTTTTTCTTTTCCATTATTTCCCTTTTGGTCTTCTTTTCCTCGCGTTGCTTGCTTCCCCTACTCTTCTCCTCTACTGAAACTTCTTCACCGAGAGCTCTCAATCTCGGTTCTTCGCCGGGAGCTCTCATTCTCTGGTCATCGGCCATTACCTAAAGTCGTCGGAACAACGCCGCCTACACCGACAACCACTCTCCATCGTTCGTCACGTCACCCTGACAGCTACCACTTCTACCCAGGCCGACCCGTTTCGGCGACATTAACGTTACCAAAAACACACATAAACAAACAAACTTCATTCCAGCAAATCAAGCACATAAATGCACGCCAAAGAGTGAGAAAGGACTGACTCTAGCGGCCTCTAACAGCGGGCATCGCTCCAGCAAGAGGGAATGGCGCCTCCGGTGGAGTTTTTGTCCATGGCCGAACCAAGACGTGCAAACGCCACAAAATCACACAGAAAACATAGATAACTTGAATTCAGTAAACAATATTAGAACGAATCGAGCATATAACACAGTTCTAAGCATCGATTCCACGAAAAGCTATTCGGATCTCCATTTAGACATTTTGTCGAACAGGTGGCATACTGGTCTGGATATGGGTTTTAGGCTGAGATACAATGTGGTTTTTGGCTTAAAAGTGATGTTTAAAAATATAAAAGGCCATATTCCACTACAAATCTGTTTCAGTTTTCAATGAAACACTAAAAATCAACACAACCAGGTTCGACGTTCTGAGCTCATACTGTTTCAATGAGACATTTTATCAAACGTGTGAGGTGCGACTAAGAAATGGAGTCACAGATCTGATTTTGACATGGTTCATGGCCCATTCTCGACATATAACGTTTAGGCCAACTTCATTGAGTGTCAAACAAGTGTGAGCCTCCATCAATGGGGCCAGGCGATCACCGAACAGGCTTGGTGTGCCTTGCTCCGGAGAGGCAGGGAAGAGAAGGGCGAAACAGAGCAAGTGCAGACCGAGGCTTACCTGGTTCGGGTGACTTGTTTGACGACGAATGGCGGCCGGAAGGTGGAGCTTTCCACGGCAAAGACGGCGACTCAGACGGACCACCAGCGAACGATCAAAAATTTCTACTTTTCCCGGGTTCTCTCTCGGCTTCCTCTCTCTATTTGTTCTTTTCCTCTGTCTCCTCAGCCCCTCCTCGGCCAACTCTCACTCTTTTCCCTCTGAACGACGACCTCCCCTTGTCTTCCCTTCTTCCTTTTCTCCCTAGCGAGCTCTCTTTCTCTCGGCCGGGAACTCTCTCTCCTTCTTCTTCTCTGTTTTCCATTCCCCCCAAAAACCGGCCTCTCTCCCTAGCTCCCCTTTGTCCTCGGCTCATGGACGATTGTCCTTCGCAGTCCAGCCTTCTCTCTCCCTTCTGTCGCCAGCTCTGTCCCTGCCATCCAATTTTTTTGTCTCTTCTTCCCTTTGTCTTGTGCGCTTTTTGTCTTCTTCGTGCTTCTGTCTTCGTCTGGCCGAGCGCGAAAGAGAGAGTGAGGGGTCAGAGCGGCTGGGCCAAGAGAAGGAAGAAGGAATGAGGAAAAGGAACTGGGCCGTGAGAGAGGAATTGGGCCCAAGCGAAGGTAGAAAAATGAAAGGGCCTGGTTCCGCCGGGCCGAATCAAACCGGCCCAATTTTCCCCTTTTTTTACATTATTATTATATATTTTAATAATTTACCTTATTGTCTCTCTTTTGCACTAATTTGGCCAACTGTGTCCAACTAATCCATGTAATTTCCTAAATTTTTCTTTCTTTTCTTGGTGGTTGGTGCTAATTGGTAGTCGTGACTTTAATAAATTCTACATAACTACCATATAATGTAACTCGAGATTCATAGGCTTCTTCGCTTATATCTGCAATTAAAATGTGTTTTGACCGCATCTGAATTAAAAAGCTAGCTACCAACTCTCTAAGATGAAAGAGATTGACGATTTAATCAAAGTGGTGGAAGGATAATGACATTCAGTCTTTGGATCAGGTGGACGGATTTATAATCCCCAGCTAATATCGATTAATCAATTGACTAAAAAATAAAGTGAAGTTTGGATTTTGAGGAAAGTAAACATCTAATTAAGAAATTCTCAAGCACCTATGTCATCCCTTTACCATTCAGTTTTTTGAAGAAATGAGCATGGTTCAATGGTAGAACTGCGAATCGGAAAACTGGACCGGTTCCAAATTTCAAAATATGTAAGGTAGATTCCAGGTTCAAAAAATTGAGAAATCGGTTCCGACTAACAGGTTCCAGGCTAGAACCTAGGACAACTCTTTGTGTTTTTCTTATTCTATGTCTTCGCGCAAACTAGCAATATACCATGGCGTCCGATGATAAGCGTATAATTTGGAACTAATAGTCCGAACTTCCATTTTCGACAATAACCATAATTCAGACTTTTACTTTGTTAATTTTTTATATTCGTTGTATGTCGAAATATGAGTTATGGTCAGTGGGTTGTAGTAACAAATGGTGATCATTAAGAGGTGATGATTTATTACAATTGTTCAATGAAGAATATAGGTGGAACCTGAGTAGACTTTGGAACTGACTCTAAAACCTATTATAGGGTAGGTTCTAGGTTCGAGAGTATGCAGGCTAGATCTCACGTTCCAAAAATTTGAGAACTGGTTCCGACAGATAGGTTCCAAGTGGAACCTGGACTGACCCTAGAA